AGCATAGTTACATTGATTGACCATTTGTTTATGCATACAACTATGCAAAGTTCAACTCGCTTCTGTGCCCTTATGTAACAAAAAATGAGGAAATCATTCAAGAAAGTATGCAATCCTCACTAGAAGCTAACATACATGCATCTAAAGGGATTACCTAAAATGTTATAGGGAGGTTGGGGTTTAAACACTGTTAATAGTATATAGTTGCATTCATGCACAGCTGCCTAGCATGGGCTAAGAGGTCAAAAACATTAGCCCTTGCTTAGAAAACGTGCCTAACACTTAGCACAGGCTAAGAAAGAGTATGGATTAAATCTGATTTGTTTTTCAGACACAGTCCAGATACTTAGCGCGGGCTATTGAAGTGTGCTTGGATTAATTGTCCAAAGATTTACTGTTATACATGTAGTCATAACTATTCATTTTGGTATGCCATTTCCAACATGACAATCAACGTGAGCATATCTAAGAACATTCTTTCTTGAGAAAAAAAATGAACTGACGATGGGACTCCTACCGGTACTTCCTGTTATTCTGCAATCTGCACTGAATTTGCTTTGGTGTTGTTATATAGCTGTAGAACTAACATGTATATCTTCCTAGTTACTGTTCAGAGATATCATAATAAAAATGACTGATATGCAAACTTATGAGATTAGCTTAAATCTTAGCATGTACTAGTACCGGTACTTTGTGTAGCCTGAACACAACACACATGTCTAATATAACTGTTGTAGGGATCTCATGAATAATACCATAATTTACCTTAGCAGACAATGCATGTATAAATACATTGCCTTTTTTCTTTTCAACTAATTGACATTAATTAATTTAATTAGTTGATAACATCAGGACCAATTGTATTGACTAGATTTAATTTTACAAACTTACTAGTCAATATCAAAACATCACTGCAAACAAATGCATAGTAATACATTATGTATACATAGTATTAATAGTATGATTCAGAACATGAATATATATGGGTGTGGTTTTGTTGTTGAAACATTTTGGATAATTTTATTCAATATTTCTGGGTATTAACTTGATTTTCTATTCTATGTTGAATTTTAATTTACCGGTAAATGAAACAAAAAAATATTTTTCTTTTATTTATTATTTAAATATTTATAAATGTTCTATACCAGTATACCATATTGGGTGTATTTAAATAGTAGATTTAATACAGTAATGACACAGTGTATCAAAATGTTAATAACAAAAAATGTAATTTTTGGTTTTTGTAAAAATATGTATTGCTAATGTCAGAATACAATACTTGTATATAATCACACTTTTTCCAGTGTTGGAAAATTCCATTAGTGTTTATAAAGTACGTCACCAGAATGGAACCTCTGAATACCTGTGTCACATTTGAATTTTTTTCATTGTTTATGTGTACATGTAACAGGCGTAGGCGTCAATGTGTGACACGTCCGATGAGTTACGTTAATACACAAGTCAGATGATCTTAAAATTTTAAGTGTGGCAGTTTTGACTTCTTCGTCATTGTTTTTATCTTCTTCCAACATTGATGTAACGTAAGGTAGAAATTATACAGGACAGTTCTGCTTTAAGCTTCATAAATGTTTATTTATGTTAAACTGTAGTTTTCACATTAATACAATATAAATGATTAGCATATTTTATTGTTATGTAAATTAGATGATAGGCAAAGCTGTTTTCCTTGAGACAACATTGGTCAAACTTGCATGAATCATGTAAAACAATATTTTATTTATTTTTTTAGTATACTACAAGGTTGGATAAACATCTCAGGTCAAGCAAACATTACTGTAGATCTGGTCTTAAATATTTTTTTTTTATGGGGCAATATATTTTTCATGCATGCACAGATCTTTAAAAAACAAAAATTGCATCACTTTTTATGAAAGATTGAACCAGAATATTATTGCCTAATAATAAAGTTTACATGAGAATACCGCAAAATATACAATAATATTATACATCTGTAACTGTAACACTGTAAGTTACCGTATTTTACAGGGTATTTTCATCCTACTATATTAGGAAATGCGAATTCCAAATGTAGAATGATTACGCGCATAAGCATCCTCTAATAATAATAAAAACAAACATGGCTGCCACCAGGGTTTGATCGAACTCCACACAAAGAAGTTCGCTGATTCTGTTCTAAACTTGTTGGATTTCGGCATTCCCATAATGTACATTTGTATCCTTGGAAAAAGAAGAGTAAAGGTTATTACGAGGATACCTCAAAGTATGCACTCAGACAGTACACCGTCACATTGACCTCCTGCTGTACTTTCTTCGTGCCTACTTTGAGGTATCTTCGTAATAACCTTATATGATCACCGTACTGCCAGTTTGTATTCAGGTACATGTTCTTTTCTGCATTCTCAAAATTACTTAATTTTATTTTTAACAATATTTGTGATGTACTGTTATAATATTGCTTGTATCCATTGTACACAAATAACACAGATTGATAAAACTATGGAGGTAATATTACCTCTATGATAATACAGAAAGGCATTGCCAAATTATGGACACTAATATCATAGTATCTATGTTATATACTGGTAACGAAATGTACATCAAATCACTTGCAAGTGAAAAAAAGATTGCAGATTGAATCTGGTCCAGGTCTCCAGAGGGCTCATTCTATCAAAATTCATTTTTTCAAGTGAACCTCAGAATTATGTTACAAGAAGTCAGGGGGTTCTACATCGCCATCTCGGGAGCTAAGGCTTTTTCTGACCGCCTCTCACTGATTTTATGTGTCATTCCCCAAAAAAGTGTTGTGCATTATAATTTTCTATAGTCCCCATCAAGGTAATGACAACTACACAATCATCTACTCTAATTT